GATATCTCCTCAGTTCGGCAAGTTGCGCGTGCTCACTTTGAAGCGCCCCGCTCGGTTTCCCGCTGTTCGGATGATCGGTTTCGCTAGGGGGCCGCCCGATTATCGTGGCGCCCAGGCCAGCGTTGCCAATGCGGGCAATAGTTATATCCACATCCAGTGCGTCTCGGATTCTTGGGCTCTCTTCCCCAAAAACCGTAGACGCACGGGATATGGATAAACATTTGGCCCCAAGAGGCTTGATTCTATCCATATCCAGTGCGCCTCGGCGTTGCGGCACCTCTCCCCAACAAGTCCACGACGCTCTGGATATGGATATAAGTACTGCCCGCAGCCAAGGCGCTGGGGGCAGCTCGCCGAGGGGGCGGCCCCCTCTCCCTGGCTCACCTCACTTCCTCTTGCTCGGCTTGGGCTAACTCGGCGGACGAGGAGGTTGCGGAAGCTACGGGGGTCGAACTTAAGGACCCATGGGGCCCGAGGGCAGCTTCCCTCCACCGCCTGGGCCTCGGTGCGTCAGCAGGACATGAAGCCGCCGAGCCATCCCGAGCTGGTTTCCATTCGATGGCCGTGGAAGTCCACATTCATGCTTGAGGCCTGTTTGCAGCTCCCCACTCGCGACGGCTTCTCCGATGCCGTTCAGCATGGTTTCGCCGTTCTCCCGCTTGTCGTCAAACGCGGAAAAGCATACCAGCACCCGCTTTGCAACTTTCAACCTTTTGCTATCGTTATGCTGGCAGATTCAACCGTTTGCTATCGTTTTGCTATATCGTTTCAACCTTGGCAACTTTCAACCTTTTGCACCGCGGTTTTTTTCTGGCCTCGGCTGCCAAGTGAGTGTTTTCAGGTCCACTGTCCGCGAGGTCCTGGATTCCCGCGAGCAGATGGCCCGCGGCGGGGCTGCCCAGGGTTGGCGGTCTGGGCTCCTCAAGGGGACTGACCAGGGAGGTCGACATGCCCACTTGGTCTCCAGCGCCCCCGCTCCCTTGCAGCCCGCCGCCGTTCTTGAAAGGGGAGGGCTCGTTGTTAGCGACCCTCAAAGCATCCTGCGTTTCGAGTCGGCCAGGTATCGGGGTCTGTAGAGGGCTGCGCCCGTTCCGCCGCCCCCTCCTGCTCTTTTTGTCCAGCCCCGCCCCTTGCCGCCTTTGGAGCTGGGCGCGGCCCGAAAAATTGTTTGCGCCGCATGGAGAGATTGGCCTTCGCATCTGACGGTTTCCATATTCGTCATGTGGGGTGGTTGTCGGACCTCGGTATGGACGCCCTCCTGTCGATTTTCGTTGTGGTGGGAACGTCGGCGTTGATTCCTGCGCATATTGCTATTGCCCCTTCTGCGCCTGGCCCCCGAGGTTCCCGCGGGCGCCTGGCCGATCGGAGTGTTTTGTGCCCGGGCGAGGGCGCGCAGACCCATCGCCGACGCCTGGGGGGCGTCACGCGGTTGGTTTTTATGTTGCCGCAAGCTGCTTCACTGGCGCGCGAGGCACCGCGCGGCGCCAGCTGTTGCGAGCTGAATGGGGGGGGGGGGCTCGGGGCTTAGGGTCTTGTAATTTGTTGTGGGGTTTCGCCACATATTATGAGGCGCTACCTCTCCCTCAGCTGCTCCAGCGCGGCATCGGGTGCGATTTCCCGCTGGCGGCGTTGAGGGCGCCCATGGCTGCCCGCGGAGCGGCCCGCCTCGTTTGTTTTCAGGCGATGATATCGGAAGGCGTTTATGCCGAGTTTGGGGCCGTTGCGGGTTGCAGCATGGCCACCGCGATGATTGAAATCAACAATATCGGCCCGTTGGATAGCATCGCCTGGAGCCCCTGCGTCGATTGCCAGTTTTACACTGACAACAGTAGTATGGCTGCGGTGGACACCCACCGCAAAGTGGTTACAAATGTCTTTCAGGGAGCGCTGGCGCTCCAGAGCGCCGCCGCCGATATGGGAGCTACTTTCTCGGCCGACAAGGCCATCCTCATCGGCAGCTCCAAGGCCGTCGGCTTGGACATTCAGGACATTTTTGTGTTAGAATTGACGGGCCTCCTTGTGTCCTTTCGGGGGTCGACGATACCCGAGGGGGGTCCTTTTCCGCCGCGGGGGGGAGCGCTCCAGGACCAGGAATCGCCGAGCCGACGGTGCCGCCAGGGCTAACCGGCTTGGTAAGTTTGATGGGGTTCTCAATCGGACCCGCTTTCGGCGTCTGTTGGTTTCTGGCCCTCTCCCCGTTTCCATCTATGGGGCTGACTTCTACGCCCGCCCCCCTGCGAATGCCTTTTTCTTCGTCGGAATTTAGGCCGGCTGATGGAGCCTTCCTGTAGCGGCAGGTCTTTGTCTGCCTTGATATTGTTAGAAGGAGACCCCCGCTTGGCTCGCCCAGGTCGCTGCGATCTGCAGACGGCACAGGGAGATGTGGGCTTTCTACTTTGACATCCACGCTTCCGCGTTTCCGATTCCCCTCCTGGCGCAGTGGCGGCCCCCGGCGTGGAAAAATATTTAAAAACGCCTCTTTCTTGGGGGGGGGGGGCCTCGGGCCCCTTGTCTGGGATGCGCCTGGCTCCCGCTGGGTTAGGCTGGGAAATGCCCGAGTTCAATCGCCTCAGGGGCGATCTTGGGAACTGTCATGGGCTTCTTTTCGCATCGCCAGCCCTTCTCAGGAATCGCCTTCGCGCGGCCGTCCTTGGGGGACTCGAAGGGTATCTCGCCCGGAAGTACAACTTTGGGCACGGCCGCTTTTGCTGCGACGTGGCCTCCTCTTATTTGTCATCTTCAAAGGGCAGTCCTCTTTGGAAAGGGCTTCTCCGATGTTGCGTGTGCGACGGGTTATGGGCCCGCGTGCGTGCTCGTAGCTGCGGGTGACAGTTTCCAGCCGACTGCGAGCTGTGTGGTGCCCAGACTGATTCTATGTTTCTCAGACTTTGGAAGTGCCCGAAGCTTATGAAGAAATATTCGAGTTGGTTGGGTCAGATTGATTGGGGTCTCGCCTGGGTTACGTTTCGTCCTCCGACAAGCTTTTTGCGGTTACCCATGGTGCCCCCCTCACCCTGGAGACCTTCATTTGTGTTCATGGGCGACGACTCTTTGGATATCAGATGGCACTCGCCCCCCCCAAAAAAAACAAACAACAAGACAGTTTGCAGGTGTGATTTCTGTTGGCGGCTCTTGTTCGCGTCGCGTAATTAACGAACTCTCTAGAGCCTCTTGGGGTGTTGTTCGGCACAGTCCTGACCAGGAGCTCTTGGCCTCTGCCTCGGTGCCCGCGTGGGCCCACGTGCCCCAGTCCCCCCAGGCGGGGGGGCACTGTGCTTTTTTGGCAGGAGTCCAGCTAATCACAGGGCCGTCCTCCATGGTTTCGGCTTGCGAGAACGTTGTCAAAACTTTCGCCGCTGGTCGTGCCAAACAGCTGAGTGATAAGCTAGCGTATGCAGGGCACTCTTTGCAGGCTAGGGCCGAGTCTGGTTTCGAGCTGCTATCCTCCCTGGACCATGTGCGGGCGCACCAGTCTGTCGCTGACGAAACGATCTCCCAGCTTTCATGGTTCTGGAGTGCGGGGGACAGCCGGGCATATTCACTAGCCACGGCGGCCCTGGCCAAGCATCCCATAGACAAGGCATTGGACACCGACCTTGCCAGGGACATTGCATATGCCCGTGTGTTCTGTCTTCTGGCGTTGCATTTTTTTCCTAAGTGTGCCCCTCTGAGAGAATTGGAGAAGTGGAGTGCGTGCGTCCACCTAAACCAGACCGTATTGCCCGTGGTAAGTTTGTTCAGCCTTGGTTAGATATCCGATGTTTTTGGAGATGTGTTAATTGTCTGGGAGTGTGTAGGCAATCGTGGCCCAGCAAGCCTCCGCCCGAACACTGCCCAGGCCACCGTGACCTCCCACTCGAGGACATACGAGCCCATGGCAAATTTTGTATCAGTTTGACTTGCTCAGACAGTGCCGTTTTCTTCATATGCGCTGCCTGCAAATCGTATTCCTCCCACGGTAGATTCAAAGGGCTTTTGTTGCCGTGCCCCCGCAGGCCCACTCGTTTCGGACAGCGAGTTTGGTCCGAGGTGTCCAGAGGAAAACACCCCGAGAGGCCTTCCGTGTCTGTCGATTGCCCTCTCAATGTTCTGGATTTAGACAGGCACCCCAGCGGTCTTCCGCTGGCCAGTCTCGCTCGACGTCCAGTACGCAGGAGGGCGAGCTCTTTTTCAGACTCTGACGAAGACCTGCGTCGCCAGGACGCAGGTGCGGCACTGGCTCGCACCGCCGCCCGTCGCCCAGTTTCTCGGTCGCAAGCCGAAGGCCCGAGGCACGTAGGCCCGCCGCAGGGCGGCCAAGTGTCCTCGGGCGATTCGGACTAGCCTCCTCCCCACCTTTTGCTGGGACGCTGGCTGATAAGCTCGTGTTAGGACGGCCAGCTCTTGCTGGCTCTCGGCGCCTCTCAGAGGCTTCACACGTTAAATCTTCCCTGCCAATTCATCCGTTGAGAGCTGCGGCGGCTCTCTGGATCTTTTGGGCTCTGCCCTGTATTCCTTGGGCCGCATCTGGCTTCATCTTCTTTTCTAAGCTGGAAGTGGTCCTCAGTGACGCCCCGCCATGCCTCCACTTTGTGCTTTCGGTGGGGCTCCTTTCTTTGTCTTCTTCTTTTCCAACGAGGTGCCAACGTCATCTCGTTCCCCACTTGTGGGGTTGGTGCCTCTCTGGAGTTTAGGTGGTGGGGTCAACGCATCCTTCCACCGCACCGAACCCTCACCACTGGGTCGCTTCGCCAATGGTGTTGAAGGGGTTGAAACGGACAAAAAACAACAAAAACAACAGAAACAAAACAAACAACAAAACAAACCGTCGCGCCACCTCATTGTGCGGCGCCTCCGAGAGGAGGAAGGGAAAGAAGAGGAGGAAAAGGAGGAGGAGGAAAGGAGGAGGAGGAGGAGGAAGAGGAGGAGGAGGAAGAGGAGTTGAGAGGAGAGGGGAGAGAAGGACGGGCACGAACGGGACGAGCGGGGGTTTCCCCTCGCCTCGCATCCCTCCCCGCCAG